CAAAGGACAAAATTATTGACACCAAATCCTTTAGAAACAAACGCAAGAGCAACCTCATTAAGAATCATAAGTAAATGGATTAGCATGAGAAAAAAAATGGTATTCCTTTTTTCTCTAGGACAGAATAAGAAGAAAAGGTTGTTTGGTATAAGTAGAAATCTCCTTTTTGCTGTTCCCAGGCTTGGAATGTTGTCATTCTCCTGAGCAGGGTAGGAAGGATGGTGCTCCTGACTTAGCTGCTGGTGTTCTGTCAGGCTGGAATGAATGCGGTTGGCAAACCCAAGGTCAGAAAAGCATAGTGCTGAATGTAGTTATGTCAAAGAAGCATTGGGACAAGGAACAGAGAGCTGTTAAATATGTGTGTACAGCCTGGAACAGAGTTGAACCCAGTCAGACAGGGGAACCTCTGGTCTAGGATGATGGGCGGATACCAGGGTGTATGAGAAAAGGGCAAGGTGAAACCAAAATTAAACTATTATTAATAAAATAATTAAAAGGTAGACTAATTGAATTAGGATCAAGTTAATGCTTGGCATTATTGATATCCTCCCTTCCCAGTTGCCACCAAACTTAAAAGAGGGCAGCCTTAGGGAAAAACAAAGGGAGAAGAAAAACACACAAAATATGCGAAGTCGAAAGTTTCCTAATAATTTTGTTACTTCTAATTTGGTGTGGTGCAAGTATGTCATCAATTCCTGGAGGACTGTATTTGTTTGTTTATGTGTTTTGGGGAGACTCACAATATTGACTAGTATGGTAATAAATGGGGAAAAGGAAAAAAACTTTTCTTCACTCTGTATTTGGGAGGATGTTCTGGTCATCTTCAGAAGTAACAAGCAGGGTGAACCAATTGATTTATTTTTAGCAGCTCCTGTAGCTTTCATCTAGTTATATTTAACTTTGAGCTTATTTTGTCCCATTCAACCTCAACTTCATCATCAGTGTTTAGTGATTATTATATAACAATGACACCAGATTTTACATAGGAGAGTTTAGAGTTGTGAATTCTGTAGCACTTCAATGTGACACTTTCTTATAGAATGTCTTCATAGTGAATCTTGAGAATTTCATACAATGAGATGAAAATTACCCCTTTCAGCTTTGCCTTCTACTTTGGGATGTTTTATTGATCCTTTTTAAGAAATGCTTATTGTGAATGATCCCTACTGATGTCAATGTCATAACATTTATATATAAGTCTGAAAAGGGGAATATCCATTTTAGTCAACTCTTATGCATTATTAATGATATATTTAGTGGCTACTTAGATGCTACAGAATATAATATTTTTATATAACAATATATGGTTGACATGATTCCTATTTGATAGTTGTATAGTATAAAATTTGTATTTAAGAGTGAATGTATTGGGCATATTTGGGGAATTATATAAAATAAATAGCTTATGAATGGAAATATTATTTTTTAAAAACATTCTGAGCATACAACATGCAAGGTGCTATTTTCATTCTGTCTTTGAAGAAAATATCTTCGTGTGATTTCTTTGCAACATTGAACCAAATTGTCCCAGTTTTATGGGAACATATTCTGTTAAATAGCATGAACATGTGGCAAAATTTTAATATTGATAAATGAAAAAACTATTTAAACATATACCAGTTTCTCTGAAGATCTCCTGTCATAATTTTTATGGAAACTAAATTGAGATTTGAGAATGGAATAAAATTCTAAGCACTGTTAAGGAACTAAGATCCCTTATCTCCTTTATGAGTCTCTAGTATTTAATTGTTAAGCACAAGCCCTATCTGCTTGGATAATGGAATTTCCTCAGATGATACTTTCAAAAGAACTTTTCTTATTCAACCCATAGCTTCTTTAGAAGCTTATAAAAGTTGTTCAAATATTGTGTATATATTCATTACTTATTTTTGAATGGTGCTAGCATTTTCTTAGAGCAGAGAAGAAATTTGTATTGTGCATGCTAAGAAAGTCTAGAAAAGAGGATTATTTTAGTATCATAGAATCAAAGTATAGAAGCACAAAGGGATTTAAAGAAGATTTAATCCTAAACTGTCTTTTTACCAATAAAGAAACTAAGATCCAGTATGATTGTCACTTGCCCAAAGGGTTACAACACTTTAGTGACATTTACTGTGATACATGTATTTACATTTTCCATAATGTTTTATTTTTGCAAATCACATAAAGCAAGTTACTGGCTATTGAAGTCATTTTAATCATTTGGTCATTTTATATTTCCAACAGTCACTGTTTCTTTCTGTTCAGGCTGGTAGCATATTTTGTAAGATAGTCCTCTTAAAAACATTTTAAATTTTATTTGGTTGTAGTTAATGCAAGTGGTCATACCATCAGTTCTTTATGAGACATACTTCTCTACATATACTTAATTATATTAATAGAAAATTTGAGTTTATCAGCTCTCCATGGGACCATACTATTGATCTCTTCTCCTTACTCCCACTCCCAACTATTTTTTAAACTGAAAGGATTTACTGATATCTAACTTAATCCTGTAAGAGGTTTTAAGAAAATGTGCTAAGCAATATTTCAGTTAGACAGGAGGAATAAGTTCAAGAGATTTATTTTATATCATGGTAATTACAGTTAATAACAATGTATTATATATTTGAAAATTACTAAGAGAGCAGATTTTGAGTGTTCTCACCACCAAAAAAAGTATGTGAAGTGCTGTGTGTTAAATATCTTGATTTAGTCATTTCACAGTATACACATATATCAAAACATCACATTGTAGTTCATAAGTATATACAATTTTTACTCGTCAATTAAAAATCTTGTCAATTAATAAAATGCACATAAACTTAAAAAAATAATGCTAAGATCACACTCTTTGTTTTGTTTTTCCCTTGCCTTGGTGATCTTGAGTTTTATTATTTGCCCTGAGACAATGTCTTTACTTGAGAATCTTTTACCAGGCTAAAGATAAGGGGGAAAAAATGTATTTTTCAACCTTGCAAGTCCCTTTTCCCTTTTCATCCCTGCTGTTATGGCCTCATAGCTTCTTATTTTCTAGTAACTTATTAAATGTAGTTAATTATAGCCAAGTCATGCTACCAACTTTGTCTCCATACCTCTTTTCCCAGAGCCCCCAAAACATTGTGTGCATTTTCTGCCTTTCAAGATATTATACAAAAGTTTTAGCAAATATTTTGCCACTGGCTAACATAAGTTGCCATTTTTCTAACCTCTTCTAACAGGTTCCTACCATCAGCTGCCTGTCTCTGAAGCCAATACCACACATTTAAAGATTTTGTTTTATATTCCCCACCTCAAATTTTTTTGTTTTATCAAACAACTGTAATATCTTTGGGCTTACAGTAACAGACATTTATTTCTTGTTCATGCTGCTTGGAGGTCACCTGTTGCTCTGGTTGATTCTGCTGGGCTTGGTTGCTTGGCTGACCTTCAAACATATTCTTATCTGTAGGGATCCAGGCTAAAGAAACATGCTCTTATAATGGGAGTTAAGGATTACTATAAAGTCAAAACATGCAAACACTCTTAGACAGGGCGTATACACATTGGCTTATATTGCTTTGGCTAAAGGAAGTCACGTGGCCAAGTGTAATATCACTGGATAGGGACTATGCTTTGTGCCTACAGAGAAACATGACAAGGATGGGTAGGGGACAAATAAGTATAAATGAAAAATAAAAATCTACTAATTTAATTCACTCATAAGAGTATATAGCAGAAGAGACATCTCATAACTTTATTTGGTCTCACAATGCCTCCCTTTAAAGTTGCTCTTTCATAATCCTGACTGTTGGTACCATTTTCCTGAATCCAGTGGATAGTTAAATTTTCTGTGGGTTCCAGCTTTCATTTCTTCTTCCTGTTTTGGCAATTACCATCTGAGTATCTCCTAAAGTCACATAGCTGGAAGGGTGGAGGGCAGAAAACCCAAGCAAGTGACCCTCAGCAAAGCAAATAATAGAACAGGCGAAATATAGTACGGTGGAGAAGGAGTGGCAATATGAACACTTCAAGGCATTTATGAATGAAAAGTAATAAGAAGATATTAAATAGTAGGAAGTATGTGGCTTTTAATTCTTTAAGAGCCTACTTCTAGAGTGAGACAAATACTTCAGATAGACTTTAAGACTTTAAACAAGATATTTCACATCCTTCAACTTCAGTTTCATTGTCTTCACAATGGAGGCAATAGTTACTAGAAAGAATTATGAGAAAATGACTATTAAATTGTTTAGTGTGACATAACAGGTAACAGCAAATGTTATACATAGAGGTATTTGGAAATCAGGGAGTGTTATATATGTCTAAATTTATGTGTGGTAACTATCCCTGGGTATCCCCTGGGCAACGTTACAATTATGCAAGAGTCATAATTTTATTTAGGTATGACTGAAAACAAGACAATATAAAACAAAAAAGGGGAAACTTTTAAAAATATAGGTAAGATCTCTAAAATGGCTTGCAGTTTCACCATATTGCCTTACAATTACCATATTTGAGTCAGTTATAGATTATTTAAAACCAACTTATTCTTCAAAGCAGATATAAAAATGAAAATTAGGGCACATTAGTAAAGGTATAATGTTCAAATGTTTTATATATTAAGATATTATAATGATATTACAGCAAATTAGTATAATTAAGGAAATATGATTTTGTATACAATCGTCTCCCCAACACAGTGGCCTATGTATAGTCTTTTTACACATCTCTTTTATCACATATTTGGAAGTTTTCTATCATACAGGTTTATTTCATCATTTTTTTTTACTGAACATTATATAATACTTCCATGTTATATAATTTTCATAACCATCATTGAATGTATGTATAATAGGCTCTCAAATGGATGACATTATCATATTCAACCATTTCCCAGAGTTGGGCATTTAGATTGTCTTTATTTTTCCCATACTATGTACAGGATTACCATGGGGAGGTGGGGGAGGGGTCACAGAAGCATGAGATGATAGCTGACAGTGTTGGGTGACAAAGAGATGTGTCATAGATGGAACTAAATATGTTCAGGATTCTAAACCAAGCAGTGCTTCACAGGAAGCTTCTGCCCATTGGTGGTGGACAAAGGAATCAGTAGACCAGGGAAGTTTATCTTGGTGAAATGGAAGAACGTATTTCCCGATGCCTCTGGCCAAGTTGATTCACCTTGCTGTGGTACTTTTTAAAGTCCTGCCCCAACTGTATGGTACTTTATAGAAACTTCTAGGAGATTATAGCCATTTCTGGAGATCTTGTGAATTTTTTTTCTTATTTAATTTTTTAATGGCCATTTAAATAGAAAAGTCAGAAAGGTATTCTCTGACCATGTAATCTTTCCTAGATGTCTCTAGGAATTTTTTTTACTCCTCTTTCTTAGTGCCAGTTAATGATCTAATTAATCCTTTCAAATTGAGAAAAGAACCAAAATACCAGAAAATCTTTGAAGACTGAAGGTAAGATAAAGGATCCAAAAATCTCTTAAATATAATTTCATTTTTTTCTAAGTTGACCAGAGAATATCACTAAATATGAGAGGTGAGAAATGTATTATAAGTGGCTTCCGAGACATGCTCCAAGGACTTGTAAGCATTTTCAAAGAAACCTCGGGAATCATTTCAGGAGTCAGTGGATGCTAATCGGTGGCAATTCAGGCTGTCTGCGATACCCTATTCCCAGAAACTACAGTAGCTAATTTGGGTACTAGGATTCTGTGTAAGATTATGTTTCTAGAAAGAATTCTGTGGTTTTAAAAACTGTTTGGAGAGAAACAAAACAAAACAAAAACACATTGATTACTGCCATCCTCTTTCACTATGTATATAGTTTACCCAAAGCCTGACTCTGAGAGAGAAGAAAAGATAGCAAACATGATAACAGGTAAAGCATTCACATAAGTTTTCCTCTAAAGAATGTGAAAAATTATTTAAAAGTTTGGGCTGACTCATCTTTTCTAGACAAACTGGATTGTTTACTGTTAATGTTATTGGATGATTAATTCTATTAATAATTACCATAGACTCTTATTAAATACTTAATTTATCACTTAAGATTGTGAGATAGTCACTGTTAAAATCCTCATATTACAATGAAAGAAAGAAGTGAAATGACATGTCTAAAAGTGGTTGAATCAGTTTTTGAATTCAGGGAATTTTGACTTCAGAGTTAAGAATATTTATTTTTCTGTACTGCATGGGTGTATATTAATTCGAAAGCAATAAAAATACTTATTTCCTAGACATTCATTACTCTTTCACTTTTGTTCATTCAAGAATATTTATTAAACATGTAGGGACCAAGGCCATTGGCCTCTGAAGGTTTACTGAAAGGTCAGCTCACAATAAGGCAGATTAATAAGAGAAAGGGATTGCAAATTTATTTACTGTGCACAAGGGAAGAATCATAGTTATTGCCTAATATCACAATGGTGTCCAGAAGCTTATATATCCTCTTAAGGCTATAGAAAGAATGAGGCTTTGGATCCTGGTAAAATATGTTATGGAAGGGGAAAGGGGGAGAAGAATTCTCTTGAGTGGTAATAAATGATTACCAGGGACAATGATTAGATAGGAAGCAGAAGTTAATTTATAAATAGTTTTCTTGGAATTTAAATGATCTTTGGAGATAGTCTTTATTTTGTGAAGGGGTCTACTCAGGTTTGGTTACATTCTTGGTCTTCTTTCCCGTTATGATGATAAGATAACAGGTAGGGGAACAAGTACAATTATTCTTGGTGAGTTTGTCCTGTCTTTAGTAGTTAGAGGAAAAGTCTCTTTTAAAGCCTGCTGATTTCTAAGGGTTTTTAAATTAATATACTCATTATACAAGGGAGTCATATTTTGGGGTGAAATTCCTTGAGCTCCTTCAAACACCTACTATATTCTGGGAATAAAGTAAAATAAGATATGTATCCTGTCCTCAAGAACAGGGGAAGAGTGCCAAGTAAATGTGATATATCTGTTAGGATAAAAGTATGCACAGGGAGATAGGACTGAGATCAAAATCAGACCTTGTGATAGGGGAGGTGATGCTTACCTAGAGGTAAATTTAAACAGGAGCTGGTCACATGTGGGACGATAGTGGTGAAGGATACTTCAGTTGGCAGAAATAGTGGAAAAGATATGGATCTGAGAAATATCATGATGGCTCAAGGACTACAAATATTTTATTACAATTATTAACTAACACTTGCAGGTGTGTCAGAAAAAGAGCCCAGACCAGTGATTTTCAAACAGTAGTGTGCATCAGAGTCTCCTGGAACACTAGTTAAAACAATTTGCTGGGTTTCACTCCCAGAGTTTCTCATTCATTCTCATCTGCATGTCTAACAAGTTCTCTGCTTATGCTGCTAAACTAGGAACCATGCTGTTTAGCACTGTTCAGGACACCCATGTAAGTAAAGAAAATTCATTCTCTCTGCACTTAGCTGTGAGAGAGTTCTTAGAGTTCTTAGCTCTGACCCCAGTAACTAAAGACAGATTAATAAGAAAAAAAAAAACAAAGAAAAGTTTATTAACATGATACCTCATATATACATGGGAGGGAGATACTCAGAGAAATGAGTGAATCTTGAGGTGGCTTTGAATTCAGGCTTAAATACCATTGTCCATGCTTGAATCTCCGGCACATCGGGGGAAGGTTGGGGGGCAGGGGCAATATTTGTAACCCTAACAATATTTGTACCCTCATAATATGATGAAATAAAAGGAAGAAAATAAATACCATTGTCCACTGATGCAAAGAAAGGAGGGTGTGGGGAAGGCCAGTTATAGAGCAGTTCCCAGGAAAAGCAGGGTAAACAAGGATAAGGTTTGTTATGCACAGTAAGTCTGTGTCTTCTCCGTTGATGAGTCCGTAGTGATTAGTTGTCCTTCTTTTTCTGGTATACAGAGGAAAAACCCCTACAAATAGAGATTTCCAATGAAAGCCATCTTTACTGGGGTTAGTGACATCTCACTGTAGTTTTGATTTGCATTTCTCTTATGATTATTGACATTGAGCATTTTTCACATTTATTGGCCATTTGTCTATCTTCTTTTGAAAAGCCTCTGTTCCTTTCTTTTGCCCACTTTTTGATGAGGTTGATTTTTTTTTCTTGCTGATTTGCCTGAGTTTTTTGTAGATTCTGGTTATTAGCCGTTTATTAGATGTATAGCTTGCAAATATTTTCTCCTATTCTGCAGGTTGTCTATGTGCTCTGTTGATTGTTTCCTTGGCTGTGCGGAAGCTTTTTAATTTAATCAAGTCCCATTTATTTATTTTTGTTGTTGCTGTGATTTCACTTTGTGTGATCTTCATAAATTCTTTGCTTAGGTTGATATCTAGAAGAGTTTTTCCAACATTTTCTTCTTGAATTCTTATGATTTAATGTCTTAGATTTAAATCTGTTATCCATCTTTAATTAATTTTTGTGAGTGGTGAGAGATATGGATCTTGTTTAAATCTGTTTCATTCAGTCCCAAAACAATAGATGCTGGAGTGGGTGGGGAGATAGAGGAACACTTATACACTTCTGATGGGACTGCAAACTAGTGCAACCTGTATGGAAAGTAGTATGGAGATTCCTCAAAGAACCAAAAATAGACCTACCATTTGATCCAGCAATCCCACTATTGGATATTTACCCAAAGGGGAAAAAAAGTCCTTTTATCAAAAAGACACTTTCACTATAATGTTTATTGCAGCACAATTCACAATTGCAACGATTTGAAATCAACCCAGCTGCCCATCAATTGGTCAGTGGATTTATAAAATGTGGTATATGTATATAATGGAATACAACTCAGCCATAAAAAGTGAATTAATACCTTTTACAACAATCCAAATGGACCTGGAAATCATCCTCCTAAGTTAAGTATTGCAAGAATAGAAAAACAAACACTACATGTACTCACCATTAAATTGGAACTAACCCATCAGCACTCATGTGCACAGATAGAAATAAAACTTAACAGAAATTAAGCAGGTGCAAGGGGGAAAGAGGGGAGGGGTAAAATCATACTTAACAGGTACAATGTACACTATCCGTGTGATGGGCATACTTATAACTTTGACTCGAGCAGTACAAAAGCAATCCATATGACCAGAACTTTGTTCCCTTGTAATATTCTGAAATAAGAAAAATATAAATTTCCTTTACAGATGTAAGTTGCCATTACAAAAGGGTAATTATCAGAGCTTCTCTTGTGTCTACTTTTCTCAAAATAATCTGCTCAAAGTAATCCTTGTGTTAAAGAGGCATATTTTGGGGTAGCATTTTCTAGTCTTCTGCAACCACTGGACAAGACCTATAAGCAGGGATTGATTTCTTTTATGATGAAAATTTAGCTACCAGGAGAAAAGCATTAGAAAAAAGATAGGAAAATTTTATTGTTTATTTTTCATGCACCCTATCATAAGGTAAGGCCCGTCATAAAACATGTGGTATACATGTGATTGCTAAGGAACAAAATTAGCAGATACCACAGTCCTGGTTTTAACGATACAAGTAATATTCCTTTTATAGGGGAAATAAGCTTTGTGCCTACTTATAACACAGGCAGAAGTACAACTCACAACCAAGTTACATATAAGGAAATATATTTATGTTTACATACTGAAATTTTGTATTTTAACACTTTTGTATTTTAAATTTTTAATATAAAAATAAAAAATACTCATTATATATTCAAACACTTCAAGAATATCTAAATTATACATATAGCTATTTTCCAAATACATCTGCTATTAATAGCTTTTTATGTATTGTTCTAGATAATTTGTATGCATATATAAATATATGTACATAACAATTCTTTATGTGTATATACTTTAAAATAAATAGAATCATATTTTCCTGCTTTACAGCTTACGTTTTCTCATTCATTATACTTTTAACAACATTCCATCTATATTAGTGCATGTAGATATACCTCATTCTTTTTACAGTTGTTTAGTGTTAGTACTTTTTTTATGAACGTGCAGCAGCCTATTCATTTTCTAGTAACTTTCAGTCTGCCACAGTTATAGATCATGCTGCCCTGGACACAATTGTGTGTCTTTGCATACCTGTGCAATTGTGCTTATAAGAAAAACATCCTTATAGTGCAGTTGCTCGGTTTATGGCTTTTATAAACAAGTCACCACTAGTACTGTAATATATTAGTTTCCCAGGGCAACCATCACAAATATCTACAAACTTGATGGCTTAAAACAACAGAAATTTATTCTTACACTTCTGGATGCCAAGGTACAGAACCATACTACTTAAAAGAAGATATATGGGAGACTTTGTTCCATGACTTTTCTAGCTTCTAGTGGCAGTTGGCATTCTTTAGAGTTCCTTGGTTTGTGGTCACGTTGCTTTCTGCTCTGCTTCCACCTTCACATCACCATCTCATCTCTGTGTCTTCTCTTCTGTATGTCTGTCTCTAAACTTCCTCTGCCTCTCTTTGTTGTACAGGTACATGTGATTGCA